ACACCTTATGCAAATACAGGTACATGCACATACACAAAAACTCTGCAAACAGAAGTGAATTTAGTTGGAGTGAAAAATAATCAAAAACAAACAAAAAAATAAACTTTTGTGCTAAGTTTGTGCACACACATGTCCATTCCCCACAGAAGCAGACACTGTATCTTCACATTTGCTGGCCTTCTCTATTTAAAAGCAGGTTTGTTTCTTCCCAAATTTAACATCATTTACAAAATTCAAACTAATTTACAATGACTAACAACACCACGATTTTAGACAACATCTGCTTTAGAAGAACTCAGATTTTAAATAGGCCTGTGAAAAAAACTATTCCATTTCAGGCAGTTTAAGTGTTTGAACTTTCATCTTTTTATCATCATGAGGAAAACACATTTTGCCTCAACTTCAAGTATATGTTGATTAAATATTGAAGTTCCTTCTGCTGAAATTAAAACAACTGTTTTTTAATGGTGAAAATTGGAGCCCTAAGCTTTGCAATGAACAGTTTTCAGGAGAGGAACTTAAATTCTGGTACTTACCCGTGACCTCCAAGATCACTAGGTATCTGGGAAAGAGCTCAAATGAGAAGTCTCCCTATGACTAGTTTCTTTACAAGATAACTAATATAGACAATAAGATGGACTGGGAAGCACGGGGATTCTTGGACCTTCCTAACACACATTTGTGATACTTTAGAATTATTTTTCTCCAAATGTCTGTAAACTCTAGTTCCTTCCTTTCAGGATGGGTCACTGGTCTTGCCTTGAGTGTCTCCACTCTGAGGAAGGTCCAAACACATACAACATAGGAGGCCCAACCAACTGCAAGTCTCTTCAAGAAAATGCCTCCAAAACATATTTGTGATGGAGTTTCTGATCAAGCCACGAAGTAGTTATAGTAGGAATAAAAGGGCTGCAAAAGAAGTTGAATGCTAAGACTAAAGCCTTTTGGGTGGACACAAGCCACTTTTACCCCAGAGCAGTGGGAACAGCCATTCACTTGTTGATCTACCAATAGAAACATCAACAGACTTCCACAAACATTTAAGAAAGCCTTCATAATGCTTATTTACAGTGCATGAAACTGGGGTAAGACTGAGACAACTCCATTGTGAATCACGCAACAAAGAGAAAAATTAAAAATATCCAGCTATAGACCCTTAAATAGACAAGGGTTATAATATATGCTAAGTTTTAACACTATACTCTCATAAGTCAGGAAATACAAGTCTTGAAAATAACTCTCAGCAAACTTAACTCACCCACACTGCATAAGGAAGATTCAATTTGGACTCAATTCACCTGTGGAATTCCAACTGAAGTCGACAGGATTTTTAGCTGCATATCCAATAATCCAGTGCTTTATGCAGTTATGAGGGCTATATATGCTACAAATGAGATAAGATTTTTTTCTTATCTTCTAGCAAACTGGGTAAGCTGACCTTGTGCTTTTAGAGGATTTAGAACTACAACTCTTGGCAAGATCTAGTTTACCACTTTCAGTCAAGATCTGCAATAGCAGATCTACAGGGTGAAAGGAGGGAGGCAGATTCATTGCTGACAGTGATTACAAGGAATAAGATAGGAGTTTTCCTACAGAGCGGCTTTCAGTATCCAGTGAGCAATGGCGTTTTTTTTTCTTGTTTTTACAGACAATTTACTTTTACTCTCAAATGTTAACTCACTTTGTAGTTCAGGAGAACATCCATGTCTTTCACTGAACGTGGCCACAGAGGCCAGCAATACTCCAAGCTTTTGTCTGTGACTAAAATTCCATGTGTGACTACTCCTCAACATACTATACTTCAAAAGACTTTGTGCTTTTCTAACCAAGAGGATAAACTAGGCTCAGATCAAAACAGCAAAAAAAAATCTCTAAAGGTAGAGAACAAAATTACATGACTATTCATTCCAGTTTAATGATTTTCAAAGGTAAAGCAGAAACACAATAATATGGCAAAAATACATTATACTATACTAACAGTTAGTTCTCATGCAAAATAAAACACAGTGGCATGAATTACTATGAACAAAGAACAAATCAAAATAATCCCGCAGGTAATAAATATGAAGACATAAGGTAAGTTTCTCTATTTGGAATAAATTAAAACTATAGATATACTGAAGAGCAGCAGACAAATTTTACATTCACCTGCTGGAATGAAGACAGAACTCTCACTGGGATTTAAAGTTGGGAAGATGACACTGTCTTCCAATAATAGCACTGCTGAGATAGCCTATATTTAGCAGCATATAAACAGAGTCCCATCTTATTTATGGACTTTCTAAATTGAGGCACAGGAGGCAAGCCTTGGCTTGACTTTTGAGCAGTGTTCAAGTAAATACTTTAATATCAGTTTCACATACATGTCCTAACTCAACAAATAAACCTGTTACAGGGAGTTTCTTAATGCATCAAAGTTACTAAGAAGTGAACCCCACAGTATTATTTGTTTGCTGGTAATTTAATTGGGACAAGTGGAACACAAGTTTTCACATGGCGTTTCTTCTTGGCTCATAAACCATTTTGGGGGGTTACCATGGAGCACATACTTCAAAGCTTAAAAATCACTAAATAGGAAACTCTGAAGTATTTTCCCACCTCCTCCTTCCTTCTTTCTTTTGCTTTTATCTAACCTCCCAACTTACCAGTGTTGGAGAATTTTGATCTGGCCAAAAGGACTCAGGCACAGGCCAATGACCTATGGGCACCCCAGTTTTAGGGTTTGGTCTGACATAAATAAGTTTGTGACAGCTGTGCCAAGGTTGGGGTCCAAATGGTCTAGGTATTTCCACCTGCCCATCTGCAGAAGAAAAAGGCATTGTAAACATCAGACAAAACAGTATCGAACTGATCAAAAATCATATTAACTAAAAACTTCAATTTTTGTGACAAGTTCAAGAACCATTCACAGGTTTAATATTATACTTCTTAGAAAGCCAATTAGTTGGAGCCCTTCAAAACAATGAGGGTTCTTTCTCCTACCATTGTAATTATCAGAAAAGCTTCAGATTTCCATGTCTGAAGAAAATATGCGAGAGACAGAGAGAGAGACAGAGAGAGAGACAGAGAGAGAGACAGAGAGAGAGACAGAGAGAGAGACAGAGAGAGAGACAGAGAGAGAGACAGAGAGAACTGAGCCACACTGATGATAAACTTTTTATTGCAGCAAAGCAGGATTATCAAATCCCACGAGCACTTTCCAGTACATCTCTAGAGAGGCCTGGCTAAGCCATTTCGAATGAGAAGTTGAGGCTATATAGTCACCTTTGCTATTTTAATTCTTAACACAGCCACTTTACCACAATAAGCAAAAATACTGTCGAAACCCACCGTGTTTCTGTACAGAGATATTTACATTTCCAGGTGGCCGAAAACTCCTGCTTAAAACCCTTGAAGCTATTGTACTGTGCCAGAATAACTGTATGTAAACCTACCCATGTAACACGACCAAATGTCGAGGTTTTATATAGTGTGTATAACAGTTATAAGCCAATATTTTGACAAAAAGTATAACAGAATTTTAGACAAGGCAGGTCCCTATTTGCAGCAACGTCTTTCAAATCCCAGCTTTTTTTGGCAAGTGATATATTAAGCTAAATTATATTGACAGTTGCCACTGGTTTGATACCAATACGCATGCAAAAATTTCCAAGTACCGTCAATTGGTGAGGGATCTGGTCCAGCTTTTTCAAAATTTATTACTACTCCACTCTGCACCTTTTGCACCAATGACTCGAGACACTGATTCAGCATCCTTGGAGAGCACACGCAGTACGATCGACCTAGAAGGAAAGAGCCAAGGTTCAGGCTGCTCTGTGTTCATTGCCCTTACTTAACATGGATCACTCACTGTTGTTCCCCTGACACGTACTGATTACTTAGGGATCATGGATCTAAAGCACCTCCCAAGCCTTCTCTCTTTTTTGTATGCTGTGCTTCCATTGCTTTTGCAAAGCTGGAATACAAATGCAAACATATCCTACTGCATATGGCAGTGACAATTACAGCCATGCTATTTATAGCAATGTGCTTTTTAATAAAATGCTGTTATATCCTAACAGTATCACGCTATTTTATTAGTATCTCAGTATCTCCATTCTAACTAAGTACTATTTTCACTAATCTGGGTGTCTTCTAGAAAATTTCATACAAAGCATGTGGTATTACACCCTCAGACAAAAGCCACATCTTGAAATTTAGCCACCTGTCTTAGGAATCTTGTCTTGGTTAAAGCAACTGACAAAAGTTTTCCCTTCACAACTGCACATTTTTATTCTTTGCTGTATGACTTGTAGGACAGTTACTGCTAATCCCAATTTGGTTTAATGCCTATCATGTATTTTTAGAATTACTTCCTCTCAGTCATCCAGTTTCCAGGCTATTCATTTTCACCTCTTTAACCTTTTCTCATACGTCACCTTATTCTAGCTTCATGATTATTTTTACTGATTTATTTTCAAATTCACTATATAGAGAGGCAAAGAAGAAAAAAAGAAGTTATTTTCCTTTGCTTGATAACAAGCAAGGTAACATTGCAAAGCTGAGACTGTGTTACACGCATGTCATCAGAAATATCTGGTTTTCACCACTTCATGACTTTACCTCAAAGTCTCTATTCATTCATGGAAAATGGGCTCCCCCTTGTGACAGATCAACCCTTAAACTGCCCAGGAATTTCAAACAAAGCAGCAAGAGTGCAGTTTACACGAGTCAGAATGCAGAGGAACCAAATAATTTTGGAATGCTTTTTAAATTCCTCCTCCTGCATTTTACCACATGCCTGTCAATGGCTCAATAAATTGTTATACTTTAGGTATGTGATGTTATCAAAACTTTTTACAAGCAAATTATGAAATTAAGGCCTGAGTTTATGAGCTTAAATATGATATTTAATAGGTTAAGAGCATGGGTAATGATGGAGAGAAAAATGTTGCTTTTGCAGAAATATTCTGCACTTGGCCTCTCAGTGTGAAAAAAAAACCCTCTAAAACATATTTCCTTCACTATTTGGCTACATAGTTTGGCTAACAAAACTGTAGGATAAAACAGGCTCGGTTCTTACAATCTCTAGTTGCAATACTGAAACGCACTGGCAAAGAACAGATAAGGATAAAACAGGCTCGGTTCTTACAATTTCTAGTTGCAATACTGAAACGCACTTGCAAAGAACAGATTTTCTTTTTTATCAAACTGCTGAAGAAAGCCTGCCCGCATTTGCCCACAGTAGGTTGGACTAAATTAACTGTGCCTTTACTACAAAAGCGCCTCCAGTTTCACTATATCCGAGCTGCCGAGTTTTCGCGGCTCACACAAGAATTCCGACCCGTTTCTTCCCCCAGGGCACACGGGGACCGCCACGGGGCTGGGTTACCTCCCGTGACTTCGCACATGGGCGTGATGGCCGAATCATCCACGGGCACTCCGGCTCCCGGCTCCGGCTCCGCCGCCGCCGCGATGCCCGGCAGGCGCAGGACCAAAGCAAACAACCTCTGATCCCATCGGAAGGGCTCCTTAGTCAACTCGCTTCCGGGTAGAGGGGAGTTGAGAGGTAAATGGAGCTGGAAAGGAATTTAAATCTGTGAATATATTGCTTAAAAAAAAATCAAGGATTCAGGTTACCCTGATGGCAATTCACTGTACACTCAGTGTCATCCTAACTGCTTCAAGATATTTGCAATTTGAGGCAGGTATCATATATGCCAAGCCAGACATTCATCAGTTATCAACACTTTTAAGAACATTTTATGGCAACAGGATGCGCAAACTTGAGAACTGCGAGACAATAGGAAACACCACCCTTAAAAATAGGCAAAAAACCTCAGCATCAATAGAACATTTTTCTTTATGATTTCAGCAGCCAGAAAAGCTTAACTGCAGCATTCATTTCTTCAAATTTCTTTTTTTTTTTTTTCATAATAGGCCCATTCTCAGCTCCAAGTCCTTTTTTGATGCTTCAAGATAAAAGGGACAACTAAATAAAAGATAATGTTAATCCAAAATCTCTGCAGAAGAAATATATTTTTGCAATAGCTACTCAAAAAAAATGGAGCTGTTGTGGTCATCTACTCCAAATAAGAGCTTCAACAAGCAGACTAATGGGCAGTTATGTTACAGGAACAAGAGGGCTACTCATATCCTTCTCCAAGTGAAAAGGGACTATTCAAATCAACACCGAAAAGCAAAATGGGTTCTCACATGTAGGCAATAGGTAACCTACATAAGAAAGAATTGCTTTTGTGTTGCATCTATCTGGGATGAACTGCACAAAATTTTTAATTTAAAAGATGGAAGATATCATCCAGGAATGCACCATACAAGAGAACATTTCAATTTTGCTTTAATTTCCAGAAGGATTAGTGAAAACAAACAAACAAAAATTTTCTGAGTTCAAACATATTGAGCTAAAGATACAGCAGTGGTCAGGATATCAGTTTTATTAACCACTAACAGCAACAGTAACTACCCTGGAGAGTGTGATAGAACATCTACCATTCCTGGTGTTGGCAGTACTTTCAAATTAGTTCATGGAACAAGAGGGAAAAAAAAATGTTCCAGCTCCTATCGGACAGCACAGGGCATTCAAAAGACTGTGGTCTCTTATTTGTACCCATAAACCTCACACAGAATTTAGCAGGAATAAGATGACCAAGCAAAATCTTCAATTAACACAAATTAATTGAAGTGCTAAAGTAGGCTTTTAACAGATAATTCTAAATTTCAGAAGAGAAAAAAAAAAAGAGAGAGAGAGAGAGAGCAAAATGGATCCCTGACTGACGATCTCCCCCGCAGTAAAGCAGGGCCCTGGCTCCATCCAAAGTGCTGCAGACACAAGCACGGAGGAAAAGAAACCCCAAACAATGACTCAAGTGGCACAAACGGTTCCATTTGCCGGCCAGTAACACCAATACCAAATTCAAGGGTTAAACACAAACACAAAAAAAAAACAAAATGAACTTGGCACAGCTGCCAAAACAGACTCTCAAACACCTGACTTAAATAAAATAAAATAAAATAAAAATAAATAAATAAATCAAATCTCATCTCTATGTGAGCTAGGGAAGCAAACAGGCTGTTTCAAATATTGGTCCATATCCATAAATTTTTTTTAGGGTGTCCTGTTTTCAAATGTGCACAAGCTAATGTGACAAATTGCCTTTGTTTATTTCATACTGGTTAACTGAGGAGTTTGCAACGATCTGCTGATAAGGAAGAAATTTAACTTGTAAGGAGATGAACACGAGTGCGTTGAGCCCCATGATCAGACTGGAGAGCTCACTCGGTTACGTGCCTGGCCTGCCACGGCTTCACATTCATGTTGCTCCTCTCTCATGCAAAGCATCAGCAATGCCTGCCTGGCAAAGGGAACTCCGCTGGAGGAATAGCCAAATTCCAAGCAAGCAGCCCAGCATCTCGTCTGTAAGAGGGGGCAGCTGCAAGTCCTGTGCTATCCGCACTTGGGAATGTTTTTAAGGAATGACACTCACCAACCTTTCCTACAAAACTCTGAGCAACAGAAGAGAAGCATTTACAAACGCTACAGAGCACATTTCCTCTGCGAGACACATAACAACTTCTATCTCTTCAGTCAACACGGTTGAGACTGCTGAAGTATATGGAGAAACACACACAAGGATCCCATGGATCCGGCCCAAACCCTCTTCCTAGCTCAGTTCGTCTTAAACTACAAAAGCTTGGCTCACCTGCTTACATCGAGTGAATCAAAATATACACATATATACAAACACACACACATTTTTATTTTATATATAAATATATGTAAAATTTATATGCTTAGTTATCTATAGTTCTCAAGTGCAGGCCACTGTGTTATGTACATATTATTACTAGAAATGTCTTCAGTCTGCAGGAAGGCATGATACACTAACAGCATCGAGACAAGTGTTCTCACTTCCTTCCCCACAGCTTAATCTAAATTAAATTTAACATTCAAGTTTTCAGTGAAAATACACATTCAATCCAGGCCTCATTCTTCACAGAGTTTAGTAATTCAGCCTTTTCATCTCCAGTGCATTATTTAACGGGTATTACCACAACAACTGACTATCCAAGAGAAAATAAGATGGACTAAAAATGGTCCATCTTGCATCTAATTTGCCTTTCCCCATTCACATATCCCCATGAAAGCAGGCCTGCCTCTTACTCTGCTTTGACTTGCATGTTGGTTGCTGTGAAAAAGACAGACTGAACAAGTGAGAGGGAGCAATGACCTTCAACTTGTTGTCTATCTATCATCACACACAGTACCGAAGACCAGATTTGTTTTAACACTTGCTTGTATGAGCATATATCAGCCCCGCCATCCCAGGATGCCATAATGCTATTTAAAGATAAGTGTTTACCCTATATGCCCTTCTTCTCAACATTTTAATGTGCTAGAATGTTCGAGAAATTAATGAGAGGTTGGAGGACAACCTGTTGCATGAAGACACCTTGAAGAACCCTGCTATGGGCAGGCAGGTCTTTAAGCACTCATCTACGTGTGCATTCACGTTCATCCTGAGCAGAAGCGCAGAGCGAAGTCCTCCAAAACCACCACTGAGGGCATCCTAGAGCCTCTAGTTGAGTAAGAGCTAGAGCAGCACCACATTAGAGGCCTCTGCAGCAGCACAGGAGCTGGGGAAAGAGCGTAACGCCCAGGTGGGTCTGCAAAGAGACACTTGTCATTCCAAGGGGCAGCACCAGCAAGTCTTTAGCTCTAGGGAAGCACAGCCTGGGAATCCCGGGCAGTATCCCAGGAGCACTGGGACAGTGTCACATGCTAGGACAAGGCGCCCACATGTTCAGTAGAAGCTGAGATGGAAGATAAGGAGCTAAATTACTCCTTTTAGATTGAGCTGCTGAGTCTTATTAGGGAGGGGAATGAATCCCCTCCCTAGGTGCATGATGCTGGTAGAATATAACCAGGACCGGCAGAAATTACTTAGAGTCAATAGCAAAAAATAGTCTGAATGCTTATTTAAACATCACTGTTTATGTCCACTTAATAATGGGTCATAAAAAGTGAAAAAGAACTAGTATGGAATTTCTCTTTGTTTATCAATTCCTGTCTCTACTAAATTTTAGGGGTTTTGGAAAAGAAATCCTAACAAATGGACCAGAAGAACACGGATCTTAACATCCTTTGTTGGAATTCCATCCGCATATTCCTCAACATGGATGAAGAAGAACATACCGTGAAAGGGCTTTGTCATATACTTTTGTTGAGCTGATTAGAAATCAGTATTTCAGCTGAAGAACTAGTATTAAAAAAAAAAAAAAAAAAGGAAAAACAGCTCCTGATCACTCTTGAAAGTGAGCAGGATCTTGCCACTTGTTACAGTTACTACAGCAAGGAACCCAGATGATTAACCCTTGAAATGATCAGTGTGACAGTTCTGGGATGAAGGATCCAGAGTCTCTCCCAAGACCAGAAGAATGGTAACATACAGAATCAAGAAGGATTTTGCTCATGTCTTTGTGGGCATCATCATGCACAGGAAAACACCAAAGTGTCGAGAACCCAAGTTTCGGTCTGGGAAGGCTAAGAACAAATCTGAGGGACCATATCAGAAAGGACAGCTTCTTCATCTCCTTCTGCCACTCCCTCCTCCCCAAGGAATCCATAGCATGAAATCCATAATTAAGGATGTTAACCCAGCAGTATGAGCCCATCTGGGAACAAAGGGAACAAAGAAATGCAGGGAAGAGTCAGGTCCCTACATGAAGCCGACTGCACGACTGATGCTGGGAGCCCCAGCACATTGGTACTGCTGCATTGAAAGTCAGCGCCAAAGGGACAGGAGTGAAAGCCCTGGGAACTTGTACTGCTGGGGATGACAACTGGATGGACCCTAAACACTTCTTTGTCTTCAGTCAGAGGAACCACATCCATCAGAGACAAGGTAGTGCTGGGTGGGGAGGCCCAGTATCCACAGGAATCATGCTGAACTCTGCAAAGGGCTGGGGAATCTTAAGAATTAGGTTGGAGTTCTGAAACAGAGATGGTGTTTAACTGCTTCACACTGGGGCAAATGACAGAATGTTCGGGTTCCCACAGCGATAAAGCTGATTGCATTGCTAAGAATGCATATGTTTGTGTGAGTGACAGCTCTGAGAACTTGCCTCCTGGTGCTAACCGCCTTCACAGGCTTTCCAAACACAAAATTCTGCCAGTTCCCTTGTACATAAGATTTTAAAATAAAACTAAAATCATACTGTCTTATTTCACAAAAAAAACTTCACAGGAAGTAAAAACACTTGTTGCTGTATTCACTCAGCAGGCCGGGATCACTTCCAAAGCAACTCTGAACAGTCTCTCCAAAATCAAACCCAGAGGAACAGAACATGCATCTGTAAATGACTGGAAACCTTTGTTGTTGTACAGAATAGCAACTTCTCTATCAGCTAGATCATTGAAAAGAACTAAAATGGCACTGTATAAATTGCACTTTTTCAACCTGAGAAGTGATTGCAAAGAACACTTGAGCAACACTAAAAAAAAATTCTGGTTATCAGGACACATGTTGACAGAGGCAAAAGATCTTCCCTGAAAGTCAATCCCCTTGGATACTTTGTTCCCCTACTCTTTGATAGTTAGGGGTACCCTTACTTGTAACAGGTACACTTTTCAAAAAAATCTCATCCAGCACTAGGTATAAAATATCCTATAAATACATACAGAAAAACACTCAAAGAATCTTGCATTTATTTTTGCAGGAAGAAACAATAGTGGTTACCATCAGCTTTCCCAGAAGGTGAGGTCCTTTGAATCTGCCCATTTACCACGAAATAATTAATCCACTATCATCCGGGCAGCGGCAACCACAACCTCTCTAGAATGTAGGTTTGCAATCATCAGGACATGAGTGCCTTTCTTTTTCTTTTCTTTTTTCTTTTTTTTATTTTTGGCATGAAGAACCTCAGTCATGAGGTTGTAAAATACTAGAGTACACACACCTAGCGGTCAGCATTGCTCAAGAGCCAAGCCTAATGCAAATGTAAAAAACAGTCAGAAAATGCATGTCTCAACACAAGCTGCATCAATTTAAAGATATAAATGTGTGACCAAGCGGTTGCCTGAGCGTAAGAAGAAAGTCTTCTTGCAAGTCTAACAGCATGACATGTTGCAGGAGTGTAAAACAACAAACTGTTCTCTGTTTCCACATGGAAAAGCCTGAACCCTTCCTTTAAATTTTAGGACAGGCCTCTGAATATTAGGCCTTTTCTTTTTTAGCTCTCTTCTTTTCCTGCTGCCTGGAGTGGCAGTGTGAGGCAGCCCCATCCCAGGAGAACACCTCCAATTTTCAAGAAAAGAGTCCAACAGTCAGTGTAGTTAGTCACTTATCTTTCATAGACCTTTAATAGCTGCTATTAAAATTGTTCTGAGTCTCAGCTCTGAGGTCGCTAGATATCTGAATAGGCACATCAGTTTATTGAGACATGATGTTTTAAACTGTTCTACAAATTTAATTTGAGATACATTCTTCAACTCTTATTTTAGATTATAAGGACATTACAATCACTAAACACTGAAGGGACCCCTGTGAAAGGGGTGTTTCAGCTACTCCCTAGTGGCCACATTCTTTCAGAAAACACTGCCCAATTACTTTGGATCTATAAGCAAAGAATTTAGATCTATACCAGTTAAAGATAATAGAGGCTTCACAGAAAACAATTTCATTTGCTGCCATATTTGAAAAGCCATGACCTTCTTTGGTAGAAACATTGTTTCAACGACACAACTAAACAGACCAAAAGTTGCACTACACACTTCCACCAGTAGTCCGTGTGACAAGAAAAAAAAGAGCTATTCAGATTCTTGCAGTATTAATGCATAAAACTATTTCCAATTAAAGGAAAAAAACATGCAAGTTTAAGCAATTACCAAGCGTACTTTTAAAGATCCATTCAAGATCCTACTGTAAGAGCATTCTAATGCAGTGCTTGATATAGTTTAACTGAGGTCAAATCTTACCTCTTCCTGTATCCCACTGGTTGTAGTTAATTTACTTCCATCAGTAACTGTTATAATTATTGCTGGTTCCAGAAAAAAAGGGTTTCTTCCCTAAGGGAAAAAAAGAAAGGAAGAAAGAAAGAAAGAAGTTACTTCATTTAAAATACTGCAACAAATCTGTAAGCTTCTGTTCAGCCCTTAAACTGCCACTGATACCCACTGGCATAAGGGTGAGGCCCTAAGAAAGCATTTATTCCCATGTACAACAGGTCAGACCTATAAGTTTCTCAGCCTTATTCCAGACTGGCCATATAAAGCTAGGTACTTGCATGCAATAAATGCTTGTGTATCAGGAGAGGTTATCATGGGACTTCAAGAACAGTACGTACTGCAGAATTCAAAAAAAAAAAACAAAAAAATGCAACTATTGATTTAAAGGAGCAACAGACCTTCTCTTCAGACCAGAACTATTTCTAATTTCCCTTATTGAGTTGATTTTTGTGCTTGATTTAATAGCTGTGTGACCAACTAAAACACTTTCACAGCACCCTGAGATCATGATCCTGTGGTTAAGAACTTATGCTCTGTGTATGCAGGAAAATTTTGAACTGAACAGCCCCTATTATCTCCTGATCCAAGCAGCCAGGCATGCAACACCTACGTAAAAAAACAAACACTAGAGAAAAAACCATCTCCCTTCGACAAGAATCACTTAAGACACAAGCATACACAAGGTAAGACCTTCTGTGATCCCACTGACAAAGCTGTTGGACCTGTTTAACAGTAACAAAAAGCCTTGTTTTGCTTTTGGCACCTTCTATTTCTACCACCCAGGCACTAAGGGCCCCCAGTGGCGTTCAAAGGGAAGCAGCACCACGGTGGCTTTCAGCTGCACTGGTTAAGAGGCAGCCAGGGGTGCCACTGTTAAGTGGCAACATCTTTACAATTTACTACAGGCCAACAGAAAAACTTGTGAAACGTTTGCTCAATATTTCTCAAAACTTTGTGAAAATGTTAATATTTCTTAATACAGCACATAATTAACAAAGAAAAAAACAATATGCAAAAGTCGAAATTAAACAGTAAAGGCCAATCTCCTTCACAAAGGTAAGTAGTAAGGTAAGGTGGTTTATAATCTGATTTAAACAATTACTCAGAATAATTTGAAGACTGAAATAAACTTAAGCTTATTAACTTACGTAAACCCTCAAGAACAGTTATGGTATATTATTCTGCCAACTAGTAGCTCATTCCAGCTGTGAAGTATCAGCTAGAAGCTAATTATGTTGCATTGGAATAATATCTAAAATGTGCTTTCCATCTGGAGGAAAAGGATATTGTTCTCTTCAACAGTGAAGAAATACTTCGATTCTATCACTACTAAATGGTAGCAAAAATAAGAAATGAACTTGTGATTTTTGATTTAGAATGTTACAGATTATGTTCTTCTGGTGCAATTTACAACTTGAAGTATGAATAATAAAAATTCAGCAATAGCTACAACTCTGACAAGACCTATTATCCAGCTAGGCTCATTATCTTAATTTTTTTGGTACCCTAATTATACTCTTTGCCATTTTATGCATCTAAAATCTAAGCTTTAAGTTTAAATACTTCGGACTCAAAATAATTATGAAATTATAACAAATGAAATAGTGATTCTAAATTTCAGCACCAATAACAACATCTGAGGGAGATGTGCTGAATACCAGCTTCAGGCTCAGACTATCTTCTGACTGATTCCAGAAGCATTTTAACTGTAAAAGAGATTATGTCTGAGAAACTAAAATCAAGAAGGCCAACATAAAAACATATTTACAAAAGCAAGAATCTGTTATTAGAACAAGGACAATGTTCATTTAAAGCCAGAGTAACAGCTCATTTGAGAACATCTGATCAAAGGATCTGTCATTTTCACACATATAATCTACAAATTAACTACACAAACACCAGTAATGCACTGGGGCTGAACACTACATATCCCAGTAAGTATAAGGGAAAGTTTCCCTTGGAAATCCATTCTTTACTAGTTCCGTGTGAAAGAGAGTATTTTTAGTTCATTAGTTCATCAGTACATCAGAAATACAAAGTAGCATTTAAGAGTCAAGTGAAGAGAGTCGAGTTCATCTATCACCTGCTCAATTCACAACGGCATGCAATTCAGAAACATGAAACGAGTATCTATGTTCCACCTAAAAGAGCAGACGCAATAAAAATATATAGCAAGGAGGAAGAATTTCAGCTAAAAGGTCTATGACTGAAGTTTGCTATTTTTCACCAAAAATGTCAATGTCGTTCACTTTTGAAGGAGATCAGTGATTCCTGTGGCTTATCTTTTCACCTTACCCATAACAGGCAAAAGAAAGAGAGAGGGAGAGGGAGGGAGAGAGAGAGAGAGAGAGAGAGGGAGGGGAAAGAGAGAAAAACTTATTCACAGAATTTATCAGAATTTAGAAATATTTTAGTATTTTGCAAAAGAAAATTCCAAGACTTAGACACATCACCTTTATATAAGCTATAGCACTTTTATCAATTACTGTTCACAACTTTATTTCTCATTTCAGGATAATCACATTACTTTCCATTCTCGTTTCTTTTGAAAGATACTGCTATAATAAAACACTACAAAATTACAAACACTACAAAAATACAACGAACTGATCACCATGAGCTTTTGTTCATTTCAAAAACAAAAATAATCCAACATCATTTTTTTAGCAGTGTGCAACATTCCTTAACAGGAAAATGAAAGACCAAAAAATGTGAAGCACATGAAATGCTGAGTTCTTTAAGCAGGGTAAACATCCTCACCCAGCCTCAGTATCAATGCCTTGCTCGCTATTTATCTCGGCTTATTCTATTTATCTGCACATGAGCAAGACACTTCTGTTTCTGCGTTATCTCTCCTCAGATAGATTATAACCATTGTCAGTGTCTAGAGTCTAGAAACTCAATTGCTGCACTTAAAGCATGGCAGTTTACTCAAGCTACAACAAAAGGGAAGGCAGTTTCAAGCAGTCTTTTAACCTTTATTTGCTTATTTAAATTGTATTTGCTTAAAAACAAGTACATTGAAAAAGCTAAATAGTATTTTTCTTTCTGAAAATTCAGTGGCAACCAGCTTCTATAGGGACTTCAGTTAAAGCAGCTCATTTGTTATTTATCTTAGTTCAAACTGCTGCTAGAGTCATCTGGCCACAAGCTCCTTTGAATGTTCCTCCTTCTGAGGCTTCTTGCAATGGTGAAAAAATGTACCAGGGAAAAAGTGATAGTTAGTTTTTTTTTTCACTCACCTACAATTTATCTTCTCAAGAACTGATACACAATGAGACAAAACTTGCAAATGTTTCATTTTGAGAGAAAGCCATTTGAAACTAGCAAGTATAAATACCAGGGCAGGGATTCAAAGCCCTAACTAACATAACTGTTAAGCAAAAGGGATTATTCTGAACAATTTGGTAGCTCTGTAACTATTTGTTCCAAATCAAAGCAACTCAGTTTCATTAGTCACCACTTTTTCTGTCCTCGGATGAGGTAATTCTGTGGCCACATAAAACAAAAAGAAGCGGGAGCCGAGGACGTTCCTGGGATGCTCCTGGCAACAGGGAGTTCTCTCTTGTCACAGTAAGGGGCTCACCCAGACCTGAGCCTTAGATTGAGCCAGAAGTGCTTGAAACTATCAAGTGACAACGTGGCACGGTTAAAATTGCCAAAACTACAAATTTGCTTTCATAAGCAGGTAGATTTACTAACTAGTTTCAGGATGATCCACAGATTCTTTTCACAGTGCATGGATAAAGCAATTAAAAAGCAGTTGTGGTCTCTGGATGTCCATATACAGAGCATACAACAGGAGAAATTTGATTTAAGACTATTGTTATCTCACACACACAGTTAAACATTACTTTCAAAGTCAAAAGTGTTCAAAAACTTAAGAAATAACTGGAATAAAAACATGCCTTAAAGAACAAGTCAAAGAGACTAAAAATTATTGGCTCAACAAGCATATCTGAAAGAATAATAATAAAAAAAAGGATTCAGTTGAGCAAAAGTTTCACACCTAAGGAATTCACCTTTGGATCTCACTCACTTCCTTTTATTTTCACAAGTATCAGCCCTAGCAGCCAGTAAGGTGAATTTAGTTATGTGACTAGGAAGTACTGAAGTGCACTACCAGATTTTACTTTTTTTTTTTTTTTTCTCCAATTAACAGGCAGGGATTCTCGTAATTGATCATGAGAATCTGTGAGCAATAACTGCTCAAAAACAAGAGTTTTTTTTTAAAAAAAAAATCTAAAAATTGCAGAATTACAACAGAACTGCTAACTTTAATTCTGGAGGATTTGTATCCATAACAGGGACTCTAAACTGATAGCAATTTAAAAAAAATACCATAAGACCAAACTTGATTTTCAGTAGTCTAAATCAATGGTTGAAGCCTATCCCGGTAATATGTTGATACTCCCTTTTACACCCCAGCAATTTCAGTCATGTGTTTGCAAAATTATGAAATGTTTAAAGCACTAATTTAACATTTCATTTGTTAGCAACTTCTTTGCAATTGCTGAAGGCAGAGAACTGCTAATTGAGCACAAAGAGGTAGGCAAGAATCACCCCATGCTCTGACAGGCAGCTCCATAAAAGCTACAGTGCCTTGTTCAGCTTATCTGCTCCACTTACATTTTTAGCAGCTTTCGTTACTGCCCATTATTCCTGCAAAACCAATCAATATAGTCACGGAGAGCTGTAGATCCAGTTTGATTTTAGGCTTTTACCTCACTGTTTCCCAACCTCCAAACACAGCTGAATACATCGGGATCTTATTACTATTTTAGTGAATATAAAATTTGCTATATGACCATTACTAGAAGCTACTTCGCCTTTAAGTTTTTTTTAATATATGAATATATGCAGCATGACTATGCACATACACAGTACTCAGAGATGAATAAGCTTTTAGCTCAGCAGAATAAATTCCCTCCTGGTACTTAATATGAAGCAAAGTGTCTGTGAGCAGCAGCTTTCCCAGAGGAAGCCATGCTGCACACCAGCTAACACTTAGCACACGCTGTGGTACTCGCTGCTCTTCCAAAATGCACGCAAGAATATGC